GGGGGCAGGAGGCGGTGGGGAAGCCGGGAGGTTGTAGGGAAGCTGTAGTGGGCAGAGCCGGGGGTGAGAGCCGGGACAGTCAGGGTGGCATCTGCAGGTACCACTGCTTTAAGAGAGAGATTGTTGTCATTAAGGTCAGCTTGGCCAAGAGAGCAGGGCTAGACAATGGAGCCTCCCTTCCCAGAAGTGATGATGTCATTAGGAGAAGGGCCAACTGAAGGACATCCTGCCTCGTCCTGCTCTGGTCTTCTACAAGTTGAGTTTCTGCAAATGACAAGTTCTGAGTCTTTCCATGGGGTCACTGCTTGCTCAGGCTTTTCCTTCAGATTATTCTGACTGTCATATCTGTGGGTCATCCTGTGGCTGAGTGGACTTCCAAGGGCCAGTATCCTGTCAAACTATTAACCTGTCCCCATCGTCAGGAAATCAGTATTAACCCCTTTTAACCAATGAGAAAATAGAGGCTAGAGAGAGATGTACCATTTGCTAAAATGTCAGGCACACTGAGAAGGAAATGCAGATGCAGAAAAGACACGCTGTTTTGAAGGTCACAAAGATATATCCATTTCGAGAAGGCTTGTGACAGGGGCACAGGGTAGTCCCCAACTGTCATATTTTTTGGATCTGCTGAATGTGGCAGGCATGACAGAACATAGACCCTTCCGAGGTGATTTCTGCTTCTGGGGACCCCGCAGGACTAGATGGCTTCCTCAGGCAGCGCTGCAGGCTGACGCCCACTCTCCATAGTGGCCCTATCCCAGACTCAGACTCTCCCAGCCTGTGCCTGCCTGGCCCCCTCTCCCACCTTTCACTTCCCATCCTAAACCCCTGCCTCTCCAGACACATCTCAACATCCATATCACAGAGAAGTGAGCTAGCATATGACGCAGCCAGTGTGTGGCTAAGCGCAGGCTGAGAACCAAGAGTTCAAGCCAGTCCTTCTGACCCCTGGGCCCTTCTGCCGCTGTTTAAAAAATGAAAGTCTGAAGAAATCGTTGGCATCCATGTTTCCTTCAAGACACCCAAAAAGGACAAAATGTGCGTCTCTCCTTTCTTCTGACATCATTAGCTAAAAGCATTCTCTAGGAATGTTCTATCTGCACCAAGGCTACCTAAGAGAACAATTTCCCTTTCAATACACAGTGCAAGAAGAAAGGTGATCTATCACATAAATAATAACTAGCTTTGGGGGTGGGGCAGCAGCCTTATTTTTAGAACACCATCAATTCTCAGCCAGAGCTGAGCTTATTGTTTGGGCCCTGAGCAGCAGCAGTGGCGGCGACAGCAGTCACATTTCCATTCCAGCTGTACAGGGGAGAGAACATGAAGGCCCCCACTCTGTCCTATGCAGGCTACTGTCTCCAGCAAACTGACAGCACCCCCTTCATGAGCGTGGTGTCCTGGGGAACAGACTTTCCTGGGAGAGGCGGCAAAGTGGGCTCTGATTTGGCACTGAATGGAACAAGAAAAAAAAATTTTTAAGAGAAAGAGAAAAAAAAGGGAAAGGAGAAATACCTGGGTTTCAGCAGCTCCTGAGGAAGCTTGAATAGCAAGTGGCTGGTGGGACTGTCCCCAAACCGGAGGGCTCTGTGGCTGGCCTGGGCGTTAAGAGGGGGCAGGCAGGCCTTCCCATCTTGCCATGCCTCCATGCTCCTTGGGGAGGCCTGAGGTGCGTCCTGTAACAGCTGTAGGGGAGAGCGAAGGGAGAGACGATGAGGGGCCAGTGGGGCAGCTGGAGGGTGGCGTGCTTGCCTGGCCAGCGCTCAGTTTTCACCCCGGCGTCTACGCAATGAAGTCAGCAGAGAAACAGCAGACTCAGCAAATGGCCCCCAGGGGACTCCCCCGAGAGTCCTTCCAGGGGGCACTCGGGTGGAGACAAAGAGGAGGTGGACACCTAGTCTCAGCTTCGTCACTCTCCTGCACACGCACCCAGCACCGTTCAGTGCCCCAGTGCGGCTGCAGCTTGGGGCCTTTTTACCTTCAGGACGCTATGAAGGGGGCTGGAAGACACAGCTTTGGAGAATCCAAACATCCCTTTTCTCTTATTTCCTTTCTGGGGAGAGTACATGTTCCTCATGTCTTATACAAGTCTTCCTCTTTAGGGGAAACCGCCAAATCTGGAGCCTGCAGGGATCCAGCATTCCATCCCATCATGGACCACCAGAAGAAACAAGTGTTCTCAGCGACACCCATTAGGAGGCATCTACAGCCAGAGTAGGACACAGAGCCAAAACCTGCCACCTCCCCTGCCAGGCAGTCCCCTTGGGCTTCTGTATCAGGGCAAGTAAGAGGCCGAGAGAAGGGGCAGAGAGCAAGGGCCCTGGACCTGTCCTCACTGCCGTCAGCACTGACCGGGGCACAGTAATCTGTCTACGGTGGACAGCGCTTTCAATGCGTGAGCGTTAGCTAAGGAAGAGGCTGAGTCTCCAGATTGCCTCCTTTCCTCACATCAGAGTCCAGGTTCTGGTGTCCAGGTCTGGACCACAGGGCTCAGAGCTCAATGGGGATCTCCGGAACTCAAGTGAAAGCTGAGGATTTGTCCTGCTAAGGGTTGGTTCAGGGATGAACACGTGACCCTTGCTCTTGGACATGATTCTTGAGGAGAAGTTGTTGGGAAGAGCTGTCGATAAAAGCTCTTTCTGTCCTGGCAGAGAGAAGCCCCGGCAGAGTCCGTTGTTCCTCTGCTGGACACTGCTCGGCAAGTGTTTCTCAGAGCCAGCCAAGATGAAGCAGAGAGAACCGAGGTCAAGTTCCATGTTCCACCTACCACTGAGCTGCCTCCTAGTGGGATCCTAGCTCCATTTCAGCCACTGGGAGAAAATACTCTGACAAAAGCGACTTAGAAGAGAAAGCGGACATCGAGGCAGGCACCTGAAGCGGCTAATCATATCAGCCCCAGTCAGGAGCAGAGAGAAATGCATGCAAGCATGTTGACAGCTAA